AGTATTTTTTTAAATAAATGAATACTTAGGGAGCAGGAGATTTGAACTAAATGTCAAAGCATGGTAGAAATTTGGACTCTGAATCACCTTCACACATAAGGTTCCATGAAGAAGTGAGGATGATGGAGATTTACTGCCTTTCCTTATTACCCAGCTATGCCTTTTCAGGCTGCAACAGGCACAGGCATATGTGGGTTACCCAGTTTGTAAGAGTTTGTTATGAGGCTCCATGGGGAAGTAAGGAAACAGGAAATGTGTCCACAACCAGACCTCTTGGAAAATGGGAACACTGCTCACTGTTGTTCAGTAAACGGCTCTATCAGTTCACATCCATTCTCCCTACTCAGCTTCTTGGCTTCTTGACTCCCTCTCCACTTGCTGCTGTTTCCAACCCCACTGACTCAGTGGTACCTTCGCTCTCTTCCAGGACTCCGCTTGGAGATGTGTGAATGAGTGTGCGAGCATGTGTACATATACTCTTCTACCCACTTATTGCCTTCCTGTGTCTCACATTCAAAACTGAGGATAGAACAAGAATCTGCCACTACAGAGCCATAATTCAATATAAAAATGAATAAAAAGTTCTGAAAGTCAAAAGCTTTTTCATAAACATAGGCGCCAAAAAGCATGTGGCAGCAAAACTTGACATGAACTGACATGAGTCTATTTAAACTTAATTTATCTTACTTAGTGTGAACAGTCATGTATTTTGCTGCACAAGTATTAACATGTTTGATTACAGGGTACTGCCCTAGACCCTGCTGGAAAAATTAATGTAACACATGGTATATGGACTATATTACTTTCTTAAAACCCCAAAAATTATAAAATCCAAAACACAAAGTTTTAGATAAGGATCACGAACCTGTACCATCCAATGGAGAGTGTGTCTGCTGGGCATAGCCCCATATCGGATACCTTGTAAACTGCTAACAACCTTTGGCTTAAGCACCCATCTCAGATCCAAGCGCCCACAGCCAGAGCCACGGAGTCACAAAGCACAGAGTGTGACAGCCTACATGATCTGTCCCTGCCTCCCTCTTCCACTTCACTGGAATTCCACCACTCTACCCCCTCTCACTGCCCTCCAGCCACTCTGGCTAGCTTCCTTTCCGTTCCTAGAACACTGTCTCAGGACCCCTTTCGCTAGCTGTCCCGTTTGCCTGGAACACTCTTCACCCTGATCTTTGCATGCCTGACTTCTTGTCATGCAGATCTCAGTCAGAAATTTACCTTCTCAGAGAGCCCTTTCTGGCCACCTAATCTAAGAGAGGCTCCAGGTACTAATCTCGACTGGGTGTTTTCTTATTTGTTTCTTTGTTTAACGTATATCTCTCCCAACACACACGCACGTGCACGGACACGCATACACACACACACATACACCCGGCTCCATCATAACAGTGACCTTAACTATAGCACCAAGGCCTAGAACAGTGCTTGGCTCATAGTTGTAACTCAATAATAATAATAATAATAATAAATACTTGATAAACAAATGTGCCCTGGCGGCACAATGGTTACGCACTCAGCTGCTAACGGAAAGGTCAGCAGTTCAAATCCACCAGTGGCTCTGTGATCTTCCCCTGTAAAGATTACAGCCTAGGAAACATACATTTTTCTCTGTTCTATAGGGTTGCTATGAGTCAGAATCAACTTGACGGCATACAACAACAAACGAATAAATACAAAAATACTCAGAAGGGGACTGCAGGCATTGGAGGAAACTTGTAGAGACAGACACATATACCATGCCTACACAAATTAAAAATCCATAATACCTCCAAGTGGTATGGATTTTTTATACCTTCTTTGAACTTTAGTCAATAGACAATTGGAGGAGAGAGGGTATCATTGAAGGTACTGAACAGAGGAGTGGTGCGATCAAAGGGCATTATAACCTTCAGATCATTTTTCTAAACACAGTGATCATACATATCCAAATCATCTAGCAAGCGTGTGCCAAAAATGCAGATTCCAGGAACCCACCTCAGATCTACTGAATCAGAATTTCTGCAGAGGGGCCTAGGAATTAATACTGTCAGCACCCCAGGTAGCTCTTAGACACATTAAAATTTGAATACAATCACAGTACAACCTCAAAAAATATTTGTTGGTTCACTGATTGACTCAGGAAGCTAATCTCTACCTGGAACCCATCAAAACTATGCTACAGAGAAACCTTTGACAAGTCATAACCAGCTAACATAATAGTGAAGCTCTCACTGGTCCAAACACGGGTTCAGAGTTTCAAACATGGATGCAATTATGTTTCAAGCACTGAGAGGCTTCCACCCTTCCAACTTCTATCAAAAGCCTCACCATTTCATGCATATACTGTTGAGGACTGGTGGAAAGAGAGCAGGATAGGGGCAAATAGTAGAGATTTAAGGAGCTTCTAGAATTCCGATACCTTACTCTAGCACTAAGTTACACCTGATTAAGCAAATAAAGAACATACAATTCAACAGTCTTCAAACAGTTAAATTTTCAATCTTTATATAAAATCCATCAGATCTGATTGATAAGTGTACTTTTTAAAACTAACAGTAAAGAAGTGAAGACTGGCAACATTTTCACCATATAATTTGCTTTCTTTGCCTTTTTCCACAGCACTGTACATAAATCAAAGAAACGTTAAAGAGGCCCATATATCACCAACTGGCAGTTCAAAACTATTTACAAAGTCTTTAACAGACACAGGACAGAGTATGGAAAACCATGACCAGAGAGGCTGAAATTAAAGGGAGAAAATTAACTCAAACACTGACAGAGAATTAATTAAGTTTACAAATAACTCTCCAATGAGCAAATTATGATATTTAATAAGAATGGCCTCGGTGAAGCCGGGTTACCAAATATGGAGGGAGAAGGGGAGAAAGACAAGACAACAGAGCTCTCCAAACAAGAATAATGTATATTTGAACAAGCTGCCTTTCTATGATTAAGCACAGAAATCTGGGAACAAGGCAGGGGAAATGATGTTTTAGTAAGGTCTGAAATAGACTTGTGAGCAGCATTTTACATTACCCTTGCAAAAACAAAAGGGCATGGTCCAAAAGTTGCAAATCAAGGTATGGGTCACTATGTATAAACTGCTGCTAGAGCTGGTACAGAGGTAGAGAAATGTGTGTTTAAAACGGGTTACATTTCCCATGCAGAAAATGCAAGGATTCCCCAGAGGCAAAATATTTAACAAATTGGTGATGTACGTCCCGGTTTTCAAAGACAGGAAGAGATGTGAAAATGTCTTACCTGTCTATCTGTCGGAAGACAGAACAAAGCCTGGCAGTGCCAGGAGGGTCAGACACTCCACCACTGCTCCATTCTAGAAGCAGGGCAGTCTGCACCGTCACCAGAGCCATGTTTTGTGTCTGGGAGTCGGCAATCACTCCCTACTAGAATACTGCCTGCCTCTCCCCAGCCCCAGCACAAGGGTAGTGGCTGCAATTCTAATGGAGTCTCTGCTTCTTTGAAAAGTTCAGCTTTTAACACTGCCATCACCCACCAGGTACTCTTGCCTTCAACTATTACACTCCAGAAAAGCTAACTGCTGACAGCCAAAATAGTAAGAAAGCACCATAGCGAAAAAGGTTTTCAAACCAGCTGGTAGGTGAAAGAGGGTGGAAAAGGTCAGTCCTTTCTTCTCAGGAACTCAGTATTTTATCATCTCTTCCTCCTGCTAAATAATGAAATATTAGCATCAGACGGATCTTCTTAGAAAGCATACTAAGGACCCAGAGACATATTACTCTTTTTCAAATGCGCAAAGTGCAAATGTGTGAACAAATTTCTTAGAATCATGCAATGAAAGAAGAGCCTTCATAGAAAATATAGGTCCATTAAATCAAAAAATGTGCTTTTTAAAATCGACACCAAGATCCAGCAAACTTATGTGCAAATAAAACAAAAAATAGGAGCCCAGAAGCCTTCCTGTTGAACATGGCAGTTTGAACAGTCATATTCACCTGCACTCCCTCCCCAAACCACAAAAATGATAGTAAATGAATAAACACAAGGGGGTAAGCCCACAAAGACAAAGAGAATAGCAGAGGAAACAATGTCAGAAAGAGAAGTCAACTAAATTTTAGAAGATAGGAAGCGAACAAACCAGCACTTTATCAGCAGAGAGAAGTATGCTGAAAACTTACTCTGCATGGAGGGTAGGGTTGTGGAGGGTGGATAAGTCCAAGCTGAACTGGACTGTAAAACCTCAAAAGACTGAGGAATTGGAGATACTGGGTATGGGGTGGAGGCAAAAACAGCCTTTTTAAAACACCTAGCCTTTTTTAAACACCCAGATCCCTGCTGCCATCAGAAGCCGGTTACTCTCTGAAGAGGCTGACCTCGTGAGGCTCAGGGTTTAGAACAGCTGAAAACAGGCGTGTAAATCTGTACTCTGAATAGTAAAACAATCCTCATACCCAGCCTTCATGAAAAGAAACAGCAATGTTAGTACACTACATGGCTCAGCTGTAAACAATATTTCATAGTCATGATAATGTAAAAATGGAGTAAATTGATGAAAGGAGGATGGTGTATGAGTTAAAGCTTTATCTTCCACATAAATAAAAAAATAATGCCTAAAATAGCAGCCTAAACAAGTTATTTAGAAAAATGTAGACAAGTATCCAGAGAAACAGCTAAAGGATTTGAAAGGAGTTGCCTCCAGGAAGTGGCATGTGGAACAGACAGACAAGAAACTAATGTTCCTGTTATAAATCTCATAGTATTACTAATTTGCCTTTTTAACTAGGTACTTGTATTCCTTTGGTGAAAATAAAAATTATATGTGGGGGAGCTTCAACATTAAGAAGGTCCTGAAAATGTAAGCCCCTGCACAGTACAAAATGTGTTTTATCACCTGGGGACTATTAGTTTACTATAGTAACACTTAATTTTATTTCAAGTTTTACTGCGACAGTTAAAGGTTTTTACAATAGCAGATGCCTTCCCTCCCACACATCAATTAATTTGCAAATTCACTCAGGTTGTATAAATAATGAACCGCAGAAAGCTTTTCCACTGGTAAGCGCTGCAATCAGAAGGTGGATGTGGTGGGCGAGGTGCTAAACTGCGCTGCTGCTAACTGCATGCCCAAGCAGACTGGAGAAGCAGTTCTGCTAACCAGCCCACTAGCCTGAAGGACCCACCTCACTTCAAAAAAAATAAAGAACATAATGGCAACCACCTTGAAAAATGGAAAAACAATGGAAAAAATCTGGAGATAGGCAAGGGAATGATAGACATTCTGCCTCATGAAATAAAATCAGTCTTTAGGTTCCTTTTTATAGATTTTCATCTGGTGTTTACCAAGGAAGTAACTTTTTGAAAAGAAACGAGGTGGCACTTTGAACTTTGGTCTGTAATTTGGCAAAACCACCTATCAAGCCCACACATTCTTTTTTTTCTCCTTTCTCAAAGAGCTGAACCAAAGTCACCAACGCTGTTTCAAAACACAGGGGTTGAAAATAGTTCCACGGCTTCTGCTTTGCCAAAGAACTGTCTTCTCTTCCCATTTTCACTTAAATCTTTTTTTTTTTAATGACCTAAATGATGAAATGAACAAGACAATTTTTCATTTTCACCTATGCAAATAACATTTTGTACAAAACATTTTATCAACTGTAGATCTTAACTCCTTGAAGAGTTGATGGGCCTCATGAGGCAGAGCTAATCAGTAGGGAAGGCCAAACACCACCAATCACTAGGGTCAATTTCTCTGTTCCACTGGCTCTAGAAAATGGCTTTTTCACACCGAGCTTCCCACTTGCTCTCTCCTGTCTCCTACTACCAAAGCCTTCCCATTCCAGCTTCTCTCCTAATGGGCAGCGCCTGGCACTATACTTCAGACTAAACATTCTTTCTAGGTCCTTAATAAATAGTCTGAATGTGAATAAGCATTTCAAAAGGCTGACTGCTCTGAGAATTCACCCTTGCAACAAATCAAATAGCATCTACAACAGCCTGACAGGTAACAACAACGTATTTTCTTCTTTACAACCGGCCCTGACCAGAAGTAAAATATTTTTCATTCCTCACCATCCAAAAGCAGTTTCATGCATGGCGTTTGTCACTCTAAACATATCACTCTATTAAGAATGTCCAACATATCCTCTAGATTTTGAGGACAGTAATTTTCTTTAAACACTTATGAAAGCAATACAAATTTCCCCTGACATTTTCTGACCCTGCATTGTCTGTAAGGGGCACAGGTTAACAATGTTCAAAAAAAGATCACATATAAATCATGAAGATTCCTGGGACATTGTTTGGTCCAGGGCTTCGGACTCAATACCATATTAGCAAGAAAAGAAACCTCTTTTCTTCTCACTTGCATACCATACTGGGCTCAAAAAGCACCATCAAAATGTCAACAAAGGCATTTTGGGATCCACAATCATTTGACATTTTTTCTAAGAAAATTTAAATTTATATTTTTGGTAAATTTAGAGTCTTGTGAAGTACCACCCACCTCCCCCTCCACTCCCCTAAAAAGGGCAATAAAATTCATCATCAAAGGTTACTGCTTCATCGAATGCCATCAGAGTGTGGTATTTCAGCACATACGTTTGTGTATATAAATCTCCAACTGTTCTGAGATCTCCGCCATCATTGGCATAACTGGATGAGTTAAAAATGGAACAGCTGCCTTTCTAAACTCAATTTTTTTTTGGTCAGTTTAACTTAGATCCTTAGTGTCCTGTATAAGTCTCTGGATTCTATCTGGCATAAAGGTGACAGGAAGACACTCGGCCTCCTCCCCACATCAGCTCCCCTACTCAAAATTCCAAGGACATTCATATAACTTGTTCATTAAAAATACACTATTTTTATTTCAGAAGTTCAACCATAGCACATTCCCTTCTTTAAAAATTTTATAGCAACTACACTTTCAATTTGAGATTTTTCATTCATGCTAGGTGAGCCTCTTATGTTCTATATTAAATGCAAGGCATGTGTGATCAGTACTATTAATAATATAACAGTGCCAATCTCAGAAGCAGCAACATAGCACCAATACACAACCCCATATGAATAGATGTGGAATCATGAGTACCAGTGCAATCTTTATTAAAAATATGGGAATAGAGAATGTGGCTTACTGCTCTGTCCCTTCTCTCGCTCAAGAATCAGGAGGAATTTTTCCTTTCTTCCCCAAAGGCATAACATATCATTAGCTCTCAAAAATACAAATAGATCTGATGCAGAAAACAAGAGGTTACCTTTATTAGATTCAAGGGAGAAAAGGAACCGGCATTTTAAAACTGCTGATGGACAAATCAACATCAAAGTGTATCACACTCAAGGATTTAAGGCCACTAAAGTCACCTATTATGAATATGATGGTAAAACAAACTCTGGCTCTCACTTCTCCAAGAACTAGCTTTCCTAACAAAGCCTGACCTTCACAATGATGCTATCACAGTGCTTTGTCCAAGAATGTAATTTGAGAAATGTTCTTTAAAGATGTGTAGAAGAATCACAAGGTAGACTGCACAGTGCCAAAAGAGAGCTAAAACTGAGCCTATGATGGAGAACTGTATCTCAAAATGAGGGTTGGATTTTTGACAAGTTACCATAAAACCACTTAACTGTACCCTCCTTGTCTCCTCAACAATCTCACATACCGGGATGGGTCCTCCTTTCCAACGCAGTGGATGCAGGTGTAGTACTGACTGCCCATTTACCGTGGCCTTCACTATGGCTATGAGCACAGGTCAACAAGCAGGAAGCTCAAAGTAGGAGGACAATACATAGGTCTTTACTATAAAATATCAAATTGTCTGAAGACAGAAGTGGAAGCAAAGCCATCTAGCTTACTTAATGTAGGGAAATGTTTCTACTCTGCCTTTCATTTTGTTTTAAGGACCTTTGTCCTTAGCGACACATGTAATTACATAAATGGGCAATAAATATACTCTTATCTCTTAAAAAAAAAAATCAAATTGTCACACATAAAAAATGGGGGCTGTTAGTGTTATGTTCAGAGCTGAGACTTCAGCTCTTAAAAGTACCTGTGAAAGTGACCTAGTTGATTCATAGCATAATAAATTCACCAGAGCACACACACATGTGCACACAAACATACACACTCACCTCAAATGAGTATTATGTAAACAGAAAAGACTAATCAAGAATCCTAGTCTGTGTAATGTATGAAACAATAACAACAATACTAAGAGCCTCCAAGTGTCTACTGTGTGTCAGGCACTTAATCCTCACAATACAACGAAACAGGTATTCTTATCAACCCCACTTTGCCAATAAGGAAAGAAGCATAGAGCAGTGAAGTCACATGCTCAAAGTCACACAGCTGATCCCAGGTCCAAATGACTTAAAACCTGTAAGCTTAATTACAAAGCTACACCAACCCCCCCAAATAAAATTCCATTCATTCAATAGTGAATTATATATAAATAGTAATAAATACATACTGAGAGTCTAATGTGCCTGGCACTGCTCTAAGCATAGTACTGGGAATAAAGCAATGAACAAAATAGGGACTCCCATCCTCGTGGGAGAGAACACTCCACAGAGGGCATAGAAAAGGCAATAAATAAAATGAATAAGTAAAACAGGCAAGATGTCAGGTGATTAGTAGTATGGAGAAAAATAAAGCAGGAAAGTGGGTAGGGGTGGGGGCAGCAGTGGCGGTAAGAAGGTTGTAATAGGGCAGTC